ACACACACACACACACACACACACACACACACTCACACACCCATGTTTGCCCCTGTGCTAGACGGTCAGAGAACGTAGTAGTACAATAACGTATTGCCCCCGTGGCATCCAGCGAATCGGCCACGGTCATTTTCCCGCGTGTCTGTTGTTGGCCTGGTCGAGGCGCCGATTGGCGGGGACAAGTTGTTGAGGACACACGCGACCCACGCCTTCAGTACTACAGTCATTTACACTTGTACAGTAGGCATTGCACTCAACCAAAGACATTATATTAAACACGCAACCAAGGACATATTAAACACGCAACCAAGGACATATTAAACACGCAACCCAACATAATGTGTGTGTGGCGGGAAAACTGCTACTCTATCTCTCCCTCATCCTCTCCCTCGTCCTCTCTCTCTCTCTCTCTCTCTCACACACACACACACACACACACACACACACACACACACACACACACACACACTAACGCACGCACGTTAATTTACCATTTTGATTTGACAAGAACAGTGGGCCTTATATTTTCACTCCAACTCTGACATAGATTCACAAATCTACAATCTCAAGTGCAATCTATTTTGTTCACTACAATTGCCTAACCTTGACAATGGGTTTATCCATCTTTTATCAGGACAACGGCCTGTGAATAGATTGAACTCTAGATCTGAACACGACTAATATCTTCCTAGGCCCAGCCTTACATAGGCCCGATAGTTGAAATGAATTAGATCTATTACGCAAAAAACAATAAAGTCAATCAACTGTATCAAACTCTGCCTTTGCAGCGAGCTTTCTCGAAGGGCACGGAGTCGAATAAGCCAATGATAAAATTTTAATTATAAAGCTGCCAGTCGGGCAAATTAAATACGTGCGCATATTTGCCTTGGCCTACCGCCGGTGCTTAATTAGAAGATCAGATATTTAATTAATAGGCCTACCGCTGTTTTAAATAAACAACTCACTGTGGATTATTTATTATCGTGCACTAGTAATTGTTCAGAAATTTGTACCAGCAGAGTGAACGCCAAGATCGACGTGCAGGTCAAGGATGAATGGAAAACAGGGTGTAAGCGTATTAATAATTTTATTTATTATTCATACCTAATTAACTACTCTAAATAATTATTATGCTCAGCTGTTATTATAACCCCGTAAACCTCCATAATATATTGAGTGACATTGCCATGTAAACTGTCTACTACTGTAGTAATGCTTTAAAATTGTGTGTTATCATAAT